TATAATTTTTTTTTGTTTTAGTATTTTGAAGTTGACCAATTGTTATTATAAGCAATTAATGATTATAGATGATCTGCACCGTAATAAGATTGACCTAGCTGCAGCAGTAACGTGCCTATTACTATCACTTACTATATTAATATTAATATAGTTTGTGGGGGTCCTATCCGGATTCTAAAAAGGGAAATAATAATAATAATAACAGGAGGGTTCCGTATATTTCATAAAAAGAACCCTTTCCGTATATAATATTAACCCTTATTTTAAAAGGTAAAATATTTTTTTCAGTTCTAGTGTTTGCAATGACAAAATAATAAAATATTCATTTTATTACCCCACAAGCCATTGATTATAATGGCAGGAAGGTTTAGCACGTTACAAAACTTCAATTCAGTACCATTTCCTGTTATACCGGGAAATCGAATCGATTTTTCTCGGGCTGAAATATTGAAAAAAAGGATAAATTCAATACTTGGTGCAGCTGTGTAAGTTGGCCTATATTACATGATCAGTTGGTTCTTTATTGATATTTTTGTAATAATGAATTTTATATATATACACATTTAGGAATTTTCCTGGTATAATAAATGATAAAGATTTTAATAATAGTTAATAATTAATGAATGATATTAGTGAAAACAATAATTTTTTGATTTTACAGGATCTCAACCCGTCAGTTTCACACTACAACACTTAATTGAACTTGAAAAAGAAGAGTAATTGTTATTGTTGTTGTTTGATTTGATTTGATCTCTATGAATATATTTACTAATATATTTAAGAATAATTTGTATATAGTTATTATGTATGTGAAAAATCTGATGGAGCACGTGTACTTTTATATATAAGAATGGATAAAAATGGTGATCAAGATGTATATTTGGTATTTATTATTACTATTTATTATTATCATGTTCTGTTATATATTTTTTTTTAATAGAAAAGATATCTCTTCTGACTCATGTGAAAAATATATTTATTTTATATATATATATATAGATTGATCGAAAGAATCATTATTTTCATCTACCAGGTGTAAAGTTCCCCATTCCAAATACGAATGTTGATCCTAATACCCACAATTGGGATAGTTTAGTTGATGGTGAACTAGTTTATGATGTTGAACCTGATGGATCTGTAAGCAAAGTTTTCCACAATATTCATATTTATATATTTATACATATTTATAATTATATATAATTTATATAATTTATATTTATAACTTATATTTATAATTTATATTTATAATTTATATTTAATTTAACTTGATTAATAATTTAATTTAATTTAATATATACAGTATACACTGATACTTCTCGCCTTTGACATGTTAATTGATAAAGGATTAAATATAACGGAAAAACTTCTTGATAAAAGATTAGGTGTAAGTTTTTTTTATTTTAATAATTGACTACTTAAATAATAAAATAAATTTTCTAACCACATTATAATTTCACATATGGTAACTAGCGTTTATTCCTTCTTATAAAAGATTATAATAAATTAATACTAAGAAATAATCCACAGTTTGCAAATAATCAACCATTCAAGTACATACACAACATATCTTTCTTTTAATTTTTTTCACTTCACTAATAATAATGATTATATATATATTATGCATGTTTATATGAAAAGGTTCGCTTTTAAAGAGATGGAGAAATCCTATGGTTTAGAGAAAGTTATTAAAGAAACAACTTTAAAATTAAAACATAAGAGTGATGGATTAATTTTCACATCTGCAGAGTCAAGTTATAAAATGGGAACTAATGAAAAAATGTAATGTATAAATTAATTTATAATATATATATATAATATAATAATTTTGCAATCATTAATTAATTTTATTAAATAAAGCTTAAAATGGAAACCACCAAATGAAAATTCTATCGATTTTCTTTTAAAAGTTGAACATGATCAAAATAAAGAAATGCCCAGATTTTGTCTATTTCAACGAGGAAATAATGGATATGAATATTTTAATGATATGAGTGTAACTTATGAACAATGGAAAATGTAAGCATTTTTCAAACCTTTTGAATGATATTATATTAATAATTATTTAATGAATTAATATAAACTGTTTTTTTCCTTTTTTCCTAAAAGGTGGATTGATAATAATGAGAAACTTAATGAAAGATTAGTTGAAGTGGTTTGTAATCCCTCTTCATCATCATGGCAATTTTTAAGATTTCGTGATGATAAACTACAACCAAATTTTTCTACTGTTGTTGATAAAATACTACAAAGTATCAAAGATGGTGTTGATAAAGAAACACTGATTCTACAATCAAATAAAATACGTGATTCTTGGAAGAGAAGAGAACAAGAAAGAAAACAACGAGTAAATTACAACACATAGAATATGTGATTCTTAGAAATAGAATATAAAAGAAATCAACTAATAAATTATAACACATAAATATACGATTCTCAAAAGAGAAGAGAGCCAGAAAAACTCAACAACTAAATTATAACATTGTTTATTAATTATTGTTGTTATTATTGCTGAAAAAAAAGGGTGGAACTATTATTATTATAGATATTTTTTAGAATAAAGTCTAATTTAAATGTTCACGATATTTGTTTGTAATCTATTATACTATCGTTATCATCATTGTAATTATGCTTCATCTTGATCATCATCCTCATCTTTTTCTTTATATTCTAATTTTTTTTCTTGATAAACCTTTAAATCTGAAATTTCATGTTGAACATTCCAATTGAATTGATTCACTAATCAATTCGCTCCATTTATTATCTAATGATATTTTGGATTCTATTGATACTATCTTTGATAGCTGGGAAGAGGCTTTTTAATTCTTCTTTTGTTAGTTAAAACGCATTTGTATGAGGTTCCTTGGTGGTAGTTACTAATAAATGACCCTTAAAGTTTGGATGCTGACTTGTAATTGAGGAAAATTTTCATTTAGGAAAATTACCTGGATGTTCAACAACTTTATACAAAAATTCTTCTTAATAACCATAGTAAACATAGAACCAACTTCTAGTTTCAGGCAGTTACCTATCAATGAATGTGCCCTAAGTTTGCTTTTATCTAAATTTACATGTAAGAATTAAAACTATTTTTTTATTCAATAATTTACTTATGTACAGTCAAACCTCGTTTTCAACGAAGTGGCTGGAAATTTCATTTGAAACGACGAATTTTTATGTTTTCATAATAATAACGTATAACCGTATTTTTAAAAAACGCGAATTTAATTGTAATTCGGTGAAACCGAGGGTTTGACTGTATATTAAATTTATATATTTATCGTTTTATGAATTATTACCGATTTTTATTGTATGTGTATGTGTTCAATGGGTAAAGTGAATAATTTAGCCATAATCAGAGAGCATAAATAATTATTTATCAATTATTTTTATTATCAAATTTTTTGGATTAAATGAGATATCAATGATATCAATGAATGTCAGGTAAAGGAAAAAATTATTAAATTATTAAAATCATCTATCGGGTTACTGATTTTTATGTGTGTGCGTTATATTTAATGGGTGAAAGGAATAACTTGGTTATATAAATACACAATATTAATTGATTATCTTTCATTTTTATCAAATATTATCGATTTTGTGCATGTATATGTATATTAAAATCATCTATCAGGATAATATCAAAATCGTCGTCCTTATATTGCTTAAACCTATAAATTGGAAATCATATGACCAGTTAATAAAGCTCTTGCCATGATTTTCTTGTTTTTATTTTATTCAACGAAAAGATCTTATAAACTTAGCCAATAAATTTTCTTTTAAATTCCAGAACGTTTATTATTTTAATTAGAAATACCAAATTTAGCAAACTTAAAATTCTGGCAAAAAAACAGTTGTATAAAAATTCAGTGTGCGGGAATGTGATATGCTAACCAAATTTGGTAATTAGCGTCAGGTTTTTTGACATGTCCTGCAGATCAATAGTTATTATTAAATTTCTCATGTTGATTTGCCTTTGCGTGACAAATATCTTATATTTATTATTATTATAAAATTCTTAAAATTCTCTAATTGTTATACGGTAATTATTCAAAAACAAAAAGTAAAAACAAATAGTATCGCTCAAAATTAAATTAATTAATAATTATAGATATGTTATATTCACATAATAAAATAAAACTACAAAGATTAAACATTAAATTAAGATTAAAAGCAAAAGAACAATGCGAGGCATTTCTAAATAATTAAAAAAATTAATCTCTATAATATCTTTTGCTCAATTGAGCAGTTGTAATGTAGCTCTTATAGTCGAGAGTTATTGTTTCGTTAAGGGGGGTATCTAAGACCGCAAAATTGGAGAAGCTTGGATTTGAATTGAGATCGTTGGAGATGAAGGGGCTCTCAGCAGTGAAGGTAGCAACGACATTAAGAATCAAGTTGTTTTGCGTAGGGTTTATAATGATGATACAAACTTTGGTGCTAGGTCCTTTGGCAACAGTGTCAACAGCATAACAAGCATAACCATTAGCTCCACATTCCGTATCTAGGTAAATTTTATCGGCAGTTGGATCATATAAAGCAACAGCAAATCCGTATCCATTATTTTTTTGATTTATCTTTCCCTTGAACAGACGTCCCAAACGTAGGTGAAGAAAGCGAAGAGGACGGTGGTGCAAGCCTTACACTATATGTTATAAAAAAATTGTATTTTATTGTTAGTTATATAATAATAAAATATTGATTCTTATTTAATTAATTTAATTAATAAAATTACCAGCATTAGTGGTTGGTTCTGTTGCGCAAAGGACCCAACCACCATAGTTGGATGGAAGAGCTACAGTTTTATAGGGTACATTAGGAACAACTCCATAAGTATTTGTGCTCTATTAATTAATATAAAAATAAATTAGTATAATAAATAAATATAATACATAAATTTATAAATACAAAGACGATGATATTAACCAATGCAATGAAGAAGAACCCGAGAAAGATCAAAT